GAGGTTCAAGAAAAAAGAAGATAGGTAGAAGATGTAGTCTTTCTCAACCACATTTCATTCTTTTGACGTCCACTCTTTCTACAATAGGTTTCAATTCTTTATATAGGTATAAGATGATTAATCACTATACTCTTATTATTCCTTTAATCAACACCTATTAGTTTGTGCATTTCTCAGATAAACCCCCTTTTCATTCAAAATGTCAAAAAAACCCCTTAAGTTTTGCAAGAAAATCCCCAAATTAACTGTGTTACTTCTAACCTACCCCTCTCTCTCTCTCTCCTCTCTCTCTCTTCTCTCTGTGTGTGTTTATTTTGTTTTTGTTCTGTGATTTTTTTGGGGTTGGGGCTATGTTGTGAAGCCCCCTCAAGTGTGGGCATTTCAGAGATAACTCCCTGAACTTTCAAAACATCAAAAACCCCCTTTAAGGTTTGACACCCCACCACCACCCCCTTTCTAAAAAAAACTAAGCAAAAAAATTGAAGGGGTTTTTCTAAGAACCTAAAAACTTAACAGAGATTTTGAAAGTTGAGGGCGGTTATCTGGGAAATGCCGGGGTCTTTTTTTGTCGGGGGGGGGTTGAAATTCACCCGTAATTTACACAATCATGATCATGACAGTTATTTGTTATTTTTTAGAATTTCACAATGCTAGTTTTGCATAGAAAAATGAATAGAGATTATAATTATTTTCATCAAGTATGAAAATTTGGACATGCATGATACAATATTCTTAAATGATTGGATCTCTTTACACCCACACCCAAAAAATAAAACACACAAACACACTCTTCATCTTCCGTTGGCAATAAAAAGTAGGATAGGGTACATTTTTGAGAATTTTAGAATGACATTGTACAGAAAGATATTTATACTCGAGTTCAAAAATGAGTTCTATGAGAAGTAATTTTGATGATGAATAAAACATACAACCACCACCACCACCAAGCCTTTATCACAAATGTTTGGGGTTGGCTACATGAATCTTATTTTTTCATTTTATTCTGTTGTGGGTCATTTCCTCTGTTACGTTAGTCTTAAACATATCATTCTTAATTGTTTCTGACCAATTCATTCTAGGTCAACATCTAGATTTTCTAACCTCATTAACTCTAATATTATTACTTTTCCTAATTGGTGCACTAAGGAGTCTCCTTTGTACATAAGCAAACCATCTTAATCTATTCTCTTTCATTTTATCCTCAATAGACGTAACCTCTAATTTACTACAGATGCATTCATTTCTTATCCTATCTTTTAAGGTGTACCTACAAAATCATCGTAATATTCTCATTTCTGCTATACTTATTTTTTGAACATGTTTTTTAATTACCTAACATTCAGACCCATAAAGCATAGTTGGTCTTATAACCGTCCTATAATTCTTTAGTTTTATTGGTATTCTACGATCACATAAGACTCCGAAGCACTCCTCCATTTCACCCATCCTAATTTTATTCGATGCACGACATCATCCTCTATCTCATCATCATGCCTAATGATAGATCCTAAATAGCGAAAATGATGAATAAAACATGATATACCAAATTGGTTTTGCCCTCTCCTTTTATATTTCGCAGAATATAATTATTGCATGAATTGTTTGAGTAGCAGTGATAAAATTTCTGGCTATCCTTGCATCTACTTGAGATTGCTTGAATTCCCACTTCCATAAATAAAGGAGGATGACGAATGGTTTTGTCTCAATGTTGAGTTAGGAGGGCACTGAAAATTGAACCCTAATAAAGGGCCTCCAATTTTTTTTTCTTCAGATTTTAGGGCATTGAAGACAATTAAAGACTACCTCATCCAAGTACTTAAGGGTAGGTCAGAGACTATAATGACTTCCAGAAGTTCTCATTTATGGTGTGTTTGGGAGTTTACTTAGGAAAGGGAAGGAAGGGAAAAAATTCCCCTTCCTTCCCTTCCCCTCCATTACATCCCAATTTGGGGTGTAAGAATTTGGGCCAAATTTCTCATCCATTCCCCTCCTCTACCCTCCTAAATGAAACTCTCAAACAAGGTTAAAATAAAATTTCCCTTCCCTCCCCCCTCTCTACTCTCCATCCAAACAGGCCATTAAATAATCAGGGCAATTTGTACGGGTTAGGGTCAGAAGTTCTCATTTAAGTAATCAGGGTAATTTGATGGATAATCTAGTGACGATGTTAAAATTTTTTCTTGATTTTCTTGATTATCCGAGTAGTCAAGGACCTGGTAAAACGTTTTTTTTTCCGGACGATTGCTATATAATTACGATATTGGTATTGGTAGCTGTAGAATTTACTAATTTCCCTAGCATTTCTTGTGTCAGCTTGAGGCGATGGGATTTGATCGGGCGCTCGTCTTGGAGGTGTTCTTTGCTTGCAACAAAAATGAGGAGATGACAGCAAATTACCTCTTGGATCATATGCATGAGTTTGAAGAGTGACGGTCATGTTAAAAAACTGAACTGCATCTGGACCATATGATTTCTCAGCCTGCAGCAAAAAAGGCAGTATCACATACCGTTCTGAGAAGTGAAAGTACTTGACAGTTATTTCAGTTGTTTATTTTATTTTTTTAAACTTTGCTTTTTTACTGTTAATATTTGCTTGAAGTTGTGCTATCTTTTGGAAGTTCAAATAGAGAACAAGCTGCATAATGGGCATGCCTGCTGATGTTTAGAGTTTTTCTCTATAATTGTGTCCAAAATCTTTGTGGTCGGTCATAAGAGCTCCTCCCCGTTTTTTTTTTTAAAACTGGCATTTAAACTTACAAGGCCATTTATTTAAAATGCGCATTGTCATCTCATGCATTTTGTTTTGTATGCAGCTATTCATTTCATCATATACTTAAATAAGTTGTTTGGAAATCATATGCGTTTAGAACCATGTTGCAATTCTCACGTTGGGAAAAGAGAGGAAATAGGACGCTTTAACCGGTGAAGATCGGGTGTTGGGTGCACTCTCGTGTTCATGCTTGTCGCTTGGCCGCTGCCGATTTTGACCGTTTCATTTGTTTTCTTCTTCCCATCGTTTATCGTTTGAAGACCGTTTCGTTAAAAATTAATGGGTTATTCTCCCCTTATCATGGGTATTTGTGATAATACTCTTCAAATCTTTAGTATTTGCAAAGATATACCTTAGGTCTTCAATTTTGAAAAAAATTATCCTAGAAGTACTTAATCGTCCACTTTAAAGAGCTAATTTTTAGCCCGATATAAAGATTATCAACTAAATAGTTAAAATTTTAGCGTCAACTTGATGTTTTGTTAATTTTAGGGGTATGATGATTTGATGGGTAGTTTTGTAAATACTAAGGTTTAGGGTATCTTTGTAAATATCCATAATTTGAGGGGTTGTATACGTAAATAATCCAAAATCAAAACATATTTCGTTTTAAGTGATAAAGATGTCGTTGTTTTTGGATTGACACTAATATTTTCACTATTATGTTATGTTAAGCAGACTCATACATTTTCTTTAAGGTCCGTTTGGTTGGTTTCCTAAAAACCAAGAAAAGAAAATTGGTATAAGAAAACTATTAAAATATTATTTTCATCCATTTTTATCTTTAAAAATCACCCACAACATGTAATAAAATATTATTTTCATCCAACAACTTATCTCATCTCATCTCCTTTCTTACTTTTAAAAATAAACCAAACACAAGAAATTGATCATATCATTCAACTCATCTCATTTCATCTTTAAAAATCACTCACATCATCCAATAATATGGTGACAACTCATCTCATCTCATTAACATTTTATTTTTATTCATTTCCTAAAAAAAGAAAATTGATTTCCTTAAGCATGCATTATATTATCCAATAATATAATGACAACTCATCTCATCCCATCTATTTTTTTATTTTTAAGAATTAACCAAACACAAGAAAAGAACCTAAACAAGAAAATAAGTTTCTTATAATTCATTTCTTTATTTTTTTTAGCCAACCAAACAACCTCAAAACATTTTTTATAATTTCTTTCTTTAAAAATCACTCATATCATCCAATAATACGGTGACAACTCATCTCATCTCATCTTTTTTTTTTATTTTTAAGAAGTGAATCAAACACAAAAAATCAACCTATTATAGAAAACATGTTTCCTTTATCTTTAATTTTCATGTTTTTTTTACCAACCGAACGGACCCTCATCCTCTTCTCTTCTGTTGAGATAATAGAAAGGAACCAAAACATAGTGGCTATTTATTGCAGCCGTGTCCAGGTGTCATGTGGTTGTCAGGGAGAGATAAAAGGGAAGAGATTTAGCTATGACTTTTGTTTGGGTAGAAACAGCTCGTGATAGAGTAGTTGTATATATGAAAGTGATTAAAGATATGCGGAACAACCAAATGGTGAGAACTAGGGGTGTTAACGGAGCGGATACGACTCGGATATGACACTTATCATATCTATATCCGTTTACCGATCTCAGATACGGATACGGATACAGATATACGTCGATAAGAAAAATTTATATCCATATCCACCAAAATCGGATACAGTTACAGATATAGATGCGGATATATAAACGTATATGTATCTGAATACAAAAAGGATATGAGAAAACTAGATAGTATTTAGAAAAATATAGTCATGTGATACAAAAGAGTTCGTTAATATGTTCGTTATGATTGAAAAGCTAATATTAGACATCTTGACCATCAAAATTAACCACAAATCCATAATCTAAGAATCGAAACTATCGTAAGAGTATGACCAATGTGTATTCGGATATTTCGGATACGGATACGAATATTTCACTACAAAACAATATCTGTAACCATATCCTATCGGTTATAGATTTGAGTAACCATATCTATTAGGATATGGTTACAGACATTTTCTCGGATACGGATACGGTTTAGCGCCCCTAGTGAGAACAGTTGGAGAAGAGGGGGAAAAAAATATCCTACTATTAGTTTCGCATAACTTGACCGTTTTACCCTCTGCATTAATTACGGATAAATTTCCATGGTACGTAAGAAAAGTATAAGCACGCGATGGTCGTCAGCTGGTCGATATCTGATCTAGAAGGGAAAGGGACAGGGACTTGCCATTTGGTCAGTCCGTCTTCATCCATGAATTGATCAATCCGTGTCCTCCGATACTTTTCCCTCAGCCATCCCATCACGCAAAACAGTAAGGGGGGAGGGGGGAAAGAAAAAGCTGATTCTATGATTGAGCTGTCCTTTTGCACTCACGGGACCATGGTTCTTTGACCTCATTTGGACAATTTGGTGAACTGAAGACGAATTGTCATCCAAAAGTTGGGGGGCTGGAACGGGAGGGAGAAAGGTAACACAAAAACTTCAAAAAAGTTTTGAACCAAAAGATTAAGTGGAAGTCACCATCAATATCCCTTTGGGTATTTCTTTCATGAATCTTGTATCAAAGTTGTTTTTGTTTTCATGAGGCGTGCTAGATGCTTAGTAGCCGAACCTTGTTAAAAAGGAGAGAGAGAGAGAGAGAGAGAGAGAGAGAGAGAGAGAGAGAGAGAAAAGAGAGAGAGAGAGAGAGAGAGAGAGAGAGAGAGAGAGAGAGAGAGATGTTGGTCATGTAAATGAAGAGAAACTTGAGTAGCTAAAAGTCTGTCAAAAGAATTATCACTTTCACTGAAGAAATGTATGGGAAGTATGTAGTTAACTTTTCAACCGAAAAAAAAATGCTGAATCTCTAATTAAGTAGTTGTGCTAGCAGAATGAAGTTTTTTTATATATAAATTAAGTTTGATATTTCAGATGGGATTGCATATTTGTGTTCTTTTTAATCGATGGGTGTGGATATTCATTTGGTCAATATAATGTGTATACTCGGATATACATGTTAGAATATAAAAGTATAACCTCAATTTTCACCAAAGAAAGCCATATTCAAATTCAATCTGTTATGGATCTAAAGCCGATATTAGAAAAAAGGGTATCCTTGTATGAAAATATTCCAGGTCTCAATTGTTGGGGTTGAACACAGCGGCAACACGTGCCCTTTCGGATCTTGTGTCGAAAGTAGGCAAGCAAGAAATCACAACAAATAAAAGAAAAAACTTGCAGGAAAGAATAAACAAAGAGAGAACATCAGATTTAACGAGGTTCGATCGGCAAACGTGTCTACGTCCTTGGGAGCCACACCAGAAAATTCCTTTAATATTGATGAAGATTACAATGCCTGCAAACAGCCACACACACTCTCTCTCTAAGATCTCTGATCTCAAAGTGTTCTCAAATCCCTCTTTTTTCCACGTACATTGGCCAAATCACCCCCCTACATCACGCCTCGAAGATGGAGCCTATTTTTAAAAGTAGGTGAGGCTCTCTCTTCGAGGCGTGATGTAGGGTGGGGATTTGGCCACCTCACTACCAAGTTCAATGGAGAAACTTGGTACCAAGTTTTTCCATATTTCTCTCTCTCTCTCTCTCTCTATATATATATATATATATATATAGGAAAAGTGAATCTAAGGTGACACCCTAGGCTCCAACCGAAGGACGCGGCCTAAAATCACATCATTCCATAACTTTTTTTGCGATCCTCTCCGTTGCACTTGATCTGCACGTTCTTAAACCCAAACACACCAATTTTAGGGTGAACTTGTCGTGTTTTGACCCTTTGTTGAGCCGTATAAAAAGTTCTATTCATTTGAAACCGTTAAATTTGCGGCGAGTGGATGAAGGGTCAAAACATGACGGGTTCACCCTAAAATTGGTGTGTTTGGGTTTAAGAACGTGCAGATCAAGTTCAACGGAGCGGATCGTAAAAAAAAAGGGAATGATGTGATATATATATATATATATAAACTCTAGCTCAAACAGGAGTCCAACCCGAACCAGGAAAGCGTATGACTCGACATCAGTCGATGTGCATCAATCGACTGGCCAGAACTATGTTTTCTACAAGGTTGCTCGTGCACGAACCAGTTGACTGGTTGCGTTGTGTCGGTCGACTTACCAGAGCGTGATTTCCAGCTTCGTTTCCTACAGTCGCATCAGTCGACTGGGGTTCTTCCATCAGTTGACTGATGGTTTGGTTTTCTGCTACTTGTTGATTTTTGATTCCAGGTTTCGGTCTACACATCCAAGACCAACAATCTCCTACTTGTAGATGAAACCATCATCAACGAGTTCTCATGAACTTCCTTCATCTTCGCAAGCATCTTCTCCTACCTCGAAAAAGTTTTATTCTTCAATCAATATCAATCTTGGTGATCCCACCTCCTCCTAGTGTGGCTTCGCCCTCATCTCCTACGCGTGAATGCCAACTGAAGTTGTGCACAACTTCAGTTTGTCAATGATCACTGCTTTCGTTAACATATCTGCAGGATTTTAGCTCCCCAAAATCTTCTCCAACTGTAACTTTTCATCATCTATCAACGAGCATATGAAATGGTAATGTACGTCGATGTGCTTCGTTCTGGTATGATATACTAGATTCTTGGCAAGGTGTATAGTACTCTGGCTATCATAATAAAAAACTATGTTCCCTCGCTTCAAACCCAACTCTTCCAGGCACTCGGTTAACCAAATCATCTCCTTGCTGGCTTCAGTTATTGCGGCATACTCTGTCTCAGTTGTGGACAATGTTATTATCTTTTGTAAACGTGAGACCCAACTTACTGCTGTCGATGCTAAAGTATAAACATACCTCGTGATACTTCACCTCGTATCATGATCATCGGCAAAGTCTGCATTCACGT